CTGAAATCTTTATAAAGAAAAGGATTTTCAGTCGCAGTACCCAGTTCAAGGCAATTTGAATTCTTTAATGTCTTTTTTGTAGATAAATTTTTGACCTTTCTTATTTTAGATGCCTGAGGAAGTGCACCATGGAGAGGAGGAGGTGGAGACTTTTGCCTTCCAGGCAGAAATTGCCCAGCTCATGTCTCTTATTATCAATACTTTCTATTCCAACAAGGAGATTTTTCTTCGGGAGTTGATAAGTAATGCTTCTGATGTGAGTGACCTGAGCATCTTTATTGGTGTTGGTTTTGTTTCAAAAAAAGGGGGTAGAAGGTTGGTTTGGCACTTTGTGGGAGTCACTATTAAAGGGGGTTATAAAATTGCTGCAGTTCCAAAAAGGTTTGTGTTGCCTTATGAGGCAAATGGGATACTGTAACTGATTCCCAAACTGTAAGTTAAAAGGTAATCAGATTTGAGGGACTTCTGTTGTTTTTGCATGAGGAGATGGGCTCTAAGAAAGCAGAATCGTTAAATTGCAGTTTGTATTTTCAGGCCTTGGACAAGATTCGTTATGAAAGCCTGACAGACCCTTCCAAACTGGACAGTGGTAAAGAGCTAAAAATTGACATCATCCCCAATCCCCAGGAGCGCACCCTGACTCTAGTAGACACTGGCATTGGCATGACCAAAGCTGATCTCATAAATAATCTGGGAACCATTGCCAAGTCTGGTACTAAAGCATTTATGGAAGCTCTCCAGGTATGTGGTATTTCAGTTAGGCATGCACTTTGCGTATTTATTGATGTTGGTTTGCTATTTATCCAAAACTTTTGAGTTCGACTTTTTAAAATTTTGGCAGGCTGGTGCAGACATCTCCATGATTGGGCAGTTTGGTGTTGGCTTCTATTCTGCCTACCTAGTAGCAGAGAAGGTGGTTGTGATCACAAAACACAATGATGATGAACAGTATGCCTGGGAGTCTTCTGCTGGGGGTTCCTTCACTGTACGTGCTGACCACGGTAAGTTGGCTTTCCTGTTAGGGTGTCTGAGTTAGAATTCTGGAGAAACAATAATAAAGATCTTGAGCACCCTATTTGTAAAATGGTTGTTTTTCTCTATACTTGTGTTTAGTGTTATCTTACACTTGATTCTTATGGACTGTTTCTAGGTGAGCCTATTGGCCGGGGTACCAAAGTGATTCTCTACCTTAAAGAAGACCAGACAGAGTACTTAGAAGAGAGGCGGGTCAAAGAAGTGGTGAAGAAGCACTCACAGTTCATAGGCTATCCCATCACACTCTATGTGAGTATGTCGCCTGATCCTCTAGAAAATTGCACGAACCTTGGTTTTTTTGCTTTCTGTATTCTGAAACGATCCCTGCTACTTCCAGCTGGAGAAGGAACGTGAGAAGGAAATCAGTGATGATGAGGCAGAGGAAGAGAAAGGTGAGAAAGAAGAGGAAGATAAAGATGATGAGGAGAAGCCCAAGATTGAAGATGTTGGCTCAGATGAGGAGGACGATAGTGGCAAGGATAAGAAAAAGAAAACAAAGAAGATTAAGGAGAAATACATTGATCAGGAAGAACTGAACAAGACCAAACCCATTTGGACCAGAAACCCTGATGACATCACCCAGGAGGAATACGGAGAGTTTTATAAGAGCCTTACCAACGACTGGGAAGATCACTTGGCAGTCAAGGTAAGAAGCCTTGCTTATTGGCTCAATGGGAGGAGCAGGGTGTTGGTGATAAGACATGGAACTTGCCCAACTGGTTGGTAGCTGGGAATGGTGATTGTGATGAATTCCCCCTCAGGTGGACCCCTTCCAGGGTGGAGAAATGACATACATCTTCCCCAGTGACCTCACTGTATCTCCCAGGCAGCCTTACCCACCCAGGGTTCTGATTTGACTGTTTACTCTTTGACCCAAGGATTATGTATAGTTTGTACCATGTTGGATTCATTTAGTGCATTAGGGCTTGATTTTCTCAACAGCTGCCACAGTATCTGCCCTATCCCTAGTGCTTAGGGGAAGATCTTTGTTCAGATAATTTGTTGTTAGGACTAAAAATCACTTATCTTGAAATACAGAGTTGGCTTATCTGGGGTTTTCTTTCAGCATTTCTCTGTGGAAGGTCAGTTGGAGTTCAGAGCATTGCTATTCATCCCCCGTCGGGCTCCTTTTGACCTCTTTGAGAACAAGAAGAAAAAGAACAACATCAAACTCTATGTCCGTCGCGTATTCATCATGGACAGCTGTGATGAGTTAATACCCGAGTACCTCAGTGAGTATCTTCTTGGCCGGTTGTGGCTTGGTTAAGTCCTTTTAAGGCTTTCTGCATTCTGAAGGGGACTTAAGTCTTCGTCTTACATTAAGGATCCTCTGCACTGTAACAAGAGAAGGTTTAGTGAGAAAGTGGGTCCTATCTTGAATGTAGAAGACCCTCTATCTTTTGTAAGTTAGTTTTTTTCCCTGTTTGATTTCAGACTTCATCCGTGGTGTGGTTGACTCTGAAGACCTTCCCCTGAACATCTCCCGAGAAATGCTCCAGCAGAGCAAAATTTTGAAGGTTATTCGTAAAAACATTGTTAAGAAGTGCCTTGAGCTCTTCTCTGAGCTGGCAGAAGACAAGGAGAACTATAAGAAATTCTATGAGGCATTCTCTAAAAATCTGAAGGTAAGGAGGCAGCAAATACTGGCTTACTTAATAATTACGATGGATTTTGTTTTTATTTACATAGAGTAAGTAGTAGTAAGTTATTTCCTAGTAAGATTTTTTTTTCCTCCTCTAACCCTTAAAGCTTGGAATCCATGAGGACTCCACTAATCGGCGGCGCCTTTCTGAGCTGCTGCGCTATCACACCTCCCAGTCTGGAGATGAGATGACTTCTCTCTCAGAGTACGTCTCTCGCATGAAGGAGACCCAGAAGTCCATCTATTACATCACTGGTATGTTGGAGCCTGGGTCTAGTCAGCGCCTCTCCTCGGGAGAGGGGAGGACATTCAGGGATACCTGGGAACTGGCAGTATGAGGCATTCTGGTCCTTGATCTACGGTCAATTATCCTACAGGTGAGAGCAAAGAGCAAGTTGCCAACTCTGCTTTTGTGGAGCGAGTACGGAAGCGGGGCTTTGAAGTGGTGTACATGACAGAGCCCATCGACGAGTACTGCGTGCAGCAGCTCAAGGAGTTTGATGGGAAGAGCCTGGTCTCCGTTACCAAAGAGGGCCTGGAGCTGCCTGAGGATGAAGAGGAAAAGAAGAAAATGGAGGAGAGCAAGGCCAAGTTTGAGAACCTCTGCAAACTTATGAAAGAAATCTTGGATAAGAAGGTGGAGAAGGTAAACAGTTGTGGAGTTAAGTTCTCTTGTAATAAATGCCTTCGGGGTGCTCTCTCCTCAGCCTCTTGTTGCTACACCACATGTGGTTTTAGTCAGCCTAATTTGTTTAGAGCCATTAGAGAACTTTTTCTCTTTTAACTAGGCAGATTTAAGGTTGCTGTTCTTCTAAAACTCAGCAAAGATGAGGCTTTTTTTTCCCTGAGAATAGAGCTTCAAAAACCATTTTTGCCTTCAAGTGGTGGTTTAATATAAACTGAATGTTTCTGACTGTCCACAGGTGACAATCTCAAATAGGCTCGTGTCTTCACCCTGCTGCATTGTGACTAGCACCTACGGCTGGACTGCCAACATGGAGCGCATCATGAAAGCCCAGGCGCTTCGGGACAACTCGACCATGGGCTATATGATGGCCAAAAAGCACCTGGAGATCAACCCAGACCATCCCATCGTGGAGACCCTGCGGCAGAAGGCGGAGGCGGACAAGAATGACAAGGCCGTCAAGGACCTAGTGGTGCTGCTATTTGAAACCGCCCTGCTCTCTTCTGGCTTCTCACTTGAGGATCCCCAAACCCACTCAAACCGCATCTACCGCATGATCAAGCTGGGCCTGGGTGAGTGCCCTCGTCCTCTTGAGTGTGGCAGTGACTTGGGAATTGGTCTTAGGGGGAAGATTTGACTTAATGCTTTTTGGGTCAATTCCAGTGGCATTCTTTTCTGATTTTTAGGCATTGATGAAGATGAAGTGACAGCAGAGGAACCCAGTGCCGCTGTTCCTGATGAGATCCCTCCCCTTGAGGGTGATGAGGACGCCTCTCGCATGGAAGAAGTAGATTAAGGAGTTTTTACCTGCAGACTTTGTTCCTTCTCTGTATAGTGTCCCCCTGGCTCTCCCAGCAGCAGCCCTGCGTGGCCCCAGCCCACCTGGTTCCCTCTGCTGATGTCTAGTGGTTTTATTTCTGTCTTTCTAAGGCAGGATACAAGGGCCTCGAGCCCTGTCCCTTCCCACATTTGACATAGGGTTTGGGTGTTGTGTTGTCGTGTTTGTTTTTGTTCTGAAATTAAAGTATGCAAAATAAAGAAGATGGTGTTTTATACAGTTCTGCTCTTGTAAAGTATATACAGTACTGCGTTTTGAGTTTCCCTAGGTTAAGACTTAACCTGCCATCACCCTGAGAACAGGTTACATGGTACATAATAGTACATCAAAAGCTTTTTTTAAGGCTTCTTTCTTAACAGTGGTACTGGGAATTGAACCCAAGACCTTGTGCATGCTAAACACAGGGCTCTATCCAAGCTATACCCTTCCATCAAAGGCTTTGTTTAAGTTACACAACACTGACTGGTAGCTTTGAACTATCCTGTAACACCCTTTCCAAAGCACAGATGGATCTTCCACTCAATTGTGTTGACTACTATGGTAATAAAAGGCACACATGTAGAGACTGTTGAGTTTGGGTCTTTTCCTGGGTTGGTTGGATGAGGCATGAGGGCATGAGCTGGGTTCCCAGTCAGTCACGTGATCACAAGGGTAAGCAACTGGTACAGGTTAACAATTTTTCTCGCTTCAGTGGTTTTGCCCAACTACAGGCTGCTGATGTAAGTTCTAGATAGGTTAGGCTAAGCTACCGTAGGCAATCTTAAGTTGGTTTGTACTTGGAGTCAACCAAAACACAGGACCAAGCCTGTTGCAGTAGTTTAATAAAATAAAATTATAAGAGCAAAAAGTTACATTTCCAAAGTACCAAAACCTGCACTGGCTCACGGAGCAGAGCCTAGGGATCCAGGAGCGATAGGGGTGGCATTGCTGGGTGACTCCCCACCCCCTCCCCCAGCACAGCACCAGCTCTCACTCTCCTTGGAAAGCAGCATCTGGAGCCTACACCATTTGTGCTTCTCACCAGAGGAAGAAACGCAGGTCTGTCAGTCTGGAAGGATGGGTATTCAAGGTAGGGCTCACGCACAGGTGAAGCGCTGGCAGAGCCAACAGGCAAGACTACAGGGACCTTGAACGAGGCGCTTTGGAAGGTGTCTTGACATACCCCACCTGCATCTCTACCTTAGGACTCCTGCTTCCTAGAGGGTGGGTGACAAGGCAGAGGGGAAGGCTGCCTTCTAGCCCCCCTGCCCCCAAATGCAGAACTGGTTTGCAATACTGAAGGAAAAAACCTGCACTTTTTTATCCTTGAGCCGGCCACCTCAGAAATTTACTGGTACCTTGAGAGGGTCCTAGTCACTTCATCCCTCAGGCCCGTCAAACCTTCTGCACAGACGACTCGACTTGCACTGCCTTCTTTCCCCGCTGCTTTAGACGGCCCCGGGCATAGACTCGGAGCAGGAGGGCAGCAAAGACCACAGCCACCCCAAGCCCTCCCACCACAGTGACAGTGTGGCCGTAAAGGAGGCAGGAGAGGAGGATGGCAAAGGCCTGGCGGAGGGTCATGATGATGGTGAAGACAGCAGCCCCAAACTGCCCAATAGTGTAGAAGATGAAGAGTTGGCCGCACGCAGAACAGATAGAGAGCAGCAGGGTGTGTGCGGCAAATTCACCATATCGTCCCATGAAGCGGATCCCCTCCAGGAGGGCCCCCTGCTCTAGAAGGGAGCCCACTGTGAAGAGGCAGGAAAATAAGTTGACCCCAAACATCATCTGCACTGATGACATCTTGTAGGCAAACAGGGCATCCTGCCAGTTGGAGGTGAAGCTGTCAAAGGCGATGTAGCCTGCCAACAGGATGAGGCCTGAGAGCGTGGTGGCCGGGGAGCTGTGGGGCTCTGGTCCGCTGGACAGCAGAAACATGCTGACCCCGATGGAGATAAGGCCGGCTGTCAGATATTCCCAGTGTTCATAGCTGCGCCGGGACACCAACTTTCCCATCAGCATAACAGGGATTACCTTGGAGGCCTTGGCCAGCACCTGGGTGGGGAAGCTGACGAACTTGAGAGCTTCATACTGGCACCAGCTGCTGAGCACATTTGATAGGCTGGCAAAGGAGTACCGGTACATGGGTGCCCCGTGCCGGGGCTGCTTGCATAAGATGCAGTAGAGGCCAGCCACGATCAGTGCCAGGACTCGGTTCATTAGCACCAGGAACTGTGAATCCGAGAAGCGCTCACCTGGCGAGGTGGCTGTGGCCCCATAGCTGCGGGTCATCACTCTCTCCTGCAGTACTCCCCAGGTCAGGTAAGACACCTGAGTGGGGAAGGGCGGAGACAGGAGAAGATAAGCAAGAGAAGGAAAAGATAGGCCAAACAGGACCCCAACAGTCTCCTTCCTATCTAACATGATTTAAAGGACCACCTATGTATTTGGGTTCCTCTGTAGTAATCAGAAGTTTCCTCTCCCCTCCCAAACCTGGATTCACCTTGTAGGGAATCAAGGGTGTGTGAAATGCAACAACAAATGCTTTAGGACTGACCAGAGTCTGTCCCCACAGCAGGGTTTTTTAAAGCCGACTCCATCCCAAGTATTTCCCTATTTTCAACCAATTCCAGGAGGCAAGAATTCTTTAAGAGGCTTGGACACTTACTAGTTCAACATGGTATATATACCAGGTGAACTAATAGAGCCCACTGCAAATGCCCTGAGGCCAGCATCTCAGCACCCCTCTCACTTGTGGTAGTGGGGAAGGCTAGGTGGCTTCCCCAGACTTGAATCAGTGGGTTAACTATGTGAGGCACACCACTGTAAGCGGAAGGGAGAAATCACCGAAAAGAGGGTAAGAGAAAAGAGGAAAGGAAAAAACAGCATTTCCCCCAACTACCTCTAAGAAGATACTGTTCCTCTGGGAGGAGGACACACAACACAAACACCAGCAAATCACTGGGACTGGTGGGGTGAAAGCTCTGGTTCCACAGAGTTCCTGCCTGCCGGGACCCAACCCAGGAAGAGCAGCAGAGCCTGCCTACCTACCTGGAGCCCCGCGGCACAGAAGAGCAGCTTCAGGGCCTGCCAAGTGGGACTGGTCTCTGTCGGCTCTGGCCGGGGAGCCAAGGGAACCTCGTCTGTAGCCTTGGGCTCATTGCCAAACACACAAGTTTTCACCAGGGGAAAGCAGAGGCCCCTGCCTGGAGAAAGCACACAAGAAGCCCCAGAGTTCTCCCTAGCGCCTCATCTTACCCAGAGCTGCCGGCCAGCCCTTCTGGCCGCCCTCCCAGCCTTGCCAAGACCCACGTGTCCTTTGCACTCCTGACCAACCCTTGTTAACACAGACCAAGCATACTTCCCCACCCTTTCCCCCACACACCTGTCTCCAGGTAGTTCTTCCGCCTGAAGTACTGCACCAGCAGGTAGCCAGGTACCATAAAGCTCGCATAACCAGCAGCATTCACCAAAAAGCGGAAGAACCATAGCTGGGTCCACGACTCCGGAGGGGCTTCGGGGTTCTCCCCACCTGCCCCCAGGGAGGGGAGCGCAGCCAGCACCACCACTGCCCACCACCTGCAGGGACCAAGGACGTAAGAATCAGGGTGCAGCTCCTTATCCTCTCGGCCCTCCAGAGGGGACGACACTGGAGAAGGGCCCGGAGTCTCCTCCCCGCCCCCTTCAGCGGCAACTCGGCGCGGACAAAGAGCCTCTCTCTCGCCTAGGGGTGCAGGCGCCGGCCAGGCAGGGCTCTCTCCATACCCGGGAGCGGACCCGCCCCTCCGGCCACACAGGTTCCTTCTGTTCCCTCCAGCGCCTGCCGGCGGCTCCGGCCAGAGGCGGCGTCCCCAACCCCGCCAT